CCCGCATCCACTTCTTCAGCCACCTGAAAAGCATACGCCACCACATCTTGAGCAACTTAATCCCACATGTTTATCAACATTCCTGCTCTCTCCAACAACAGTAACCTTGAACATGGGGTTAAACATAGATTTCTCATCAACTATCACATTCCTACTAAGTATAATTCTATGCTCAGAAGGTGATCAGACTCAAAATCTCTTAACTCCATCTCTAAAACCCACAAACACACCCTTCTTTTCTCTTCGATTCAGTTTACCCTCATCCCACATGATAGTACACATGACAATCAAAAAATTCAAATAAGGAGTAATCAGCAAGCTTCCTATACCACACCTCATAATGAGTCTTACAATCGATACCTATGTGAGGTCCACGGTTGATGAGATAGCACGCCATTTTTACTGCTTCTGCCTAGAATCTCCTCTCCAGACCAGCATTAGAGAGCATGCACCTTGCTCTCATATGAACTCGGCAAAGAAACAAGCAGGATCAAGGCAGCATCTTAATCGTCAATCTTAACATATATGTTGCGCAGATCTAACAAGATGGAATTAAGTCGGTCAAGATGTTCCCTCAAAGTCGTATCTTCTTGCATCCTCACCCTGAACAACCATTGCTTGAGATGTAGCTTGTTGGTTAAGGATTTTGTCATATACAGACTTTCCAGCTTCAACCACAAGCCCGCGACAGTCTTCTATGCAGTGATCTTCAATGAAGTCATCAGACAACGATAACATGATGGTTGAGTGCGCCTTCTCCTCCAAGGTATTCCACTCTTCGTCATCGACCGCTTCCTTTTCTGTTTCCAAGAAAACATCCCTAAACCCTTGTTGTTTCAATGAAGCCAACATCTTGATCTTCCATATACCAAAACTATTCTTCCCTGTGAACTTTCTGATCTTCATGTTGTATGCTTGGAGCAAGTCCCATGGACAAAGTACTTATGACAATCTAATGGGTTATTTACATTGTATCCCCACTCTTGCTTGTTTTATTGGTTAACCATTAAGCTGACATATAATTGTACCGATAATTAATGGTTAATTAATAAGGCTTTCTATTTAGTTATGATCAAGCTATTTTTATGAATGATTAGCGACTAATCAAACCAATTACCTTTCCTAATAGCTCTTTATATTTAAGAGGTATGACTTTTAAATTTTTTAGTCAACCTTAAGGCGATTGATGATCCTTGACTTTTATGAAATTAATATTGCATAATCTCTCATAGCCAAGAATCTGCAGGGACTTGAGTAACTCTTTTATCCTAGGTAGAGAAAAATCATTAAAAAAGAGGTTTAAAGTGAAGAGAAGATGAAGAAAGCTCTTAAGAAAGAGTGGGAGAATTGTGTATATGGCATATGAATTAACAAGTGTGGATGTGATCAAGATGATTGATGTGATGTAAATAAAATAAGGAGGTCTTACTTATTATATGTTGGAAGCTTAGTTAGTTTCTCATGATACATTTGCTTATTTTGTTCATCCCTCATACCTAAGAAACCTACAACCCAATTTTAGACTTTTCCATCTATTTTAAGAAGATTGATTTTTACCATCTTGATTTTTTTATTCTAAATGTGGTGATTTATCTATTATCATTGTGTTGTCGTATTACTCTTAGTTTAGAGGTTTACCCCTTAAGCATTGATTTTAAAACTTTGAAACAAGCTTGGTGTAAGCAATCTTTTAAGCTTTGCACAATCGAAATCTTAGTTACCATTTTATCTTCAGTTAGATAAATTCGTGTCCTTAACTTATTCTAATGACATGCGAGGGTGATAAAATACCTTGTGAACAAAGAAAATTGCACTTGTGATCCTGATAACACCTAAATTGGTGTTATTTGCCCTTCATATTGAGGTCTGTTTTATATCAATTCATGTGCATAATCATTTGAATAGCACCGATTGCATCCTTATTGTGTTCCTATTTGATTATGATGTGATTTAAGGGTGAAAATTGTGGCCTAAAAAAGGAGATCGCTATTGGGCTTGGTTGTACGTTGGTTTTATTTTGAGAGTGTTTTTGTACTTTGCCATTACCCGTGCTTTCTCTGGAGAAGGGTATTTATATGGCTGGTTGGACGTTTGTAGCGGCTAAGAACCCTAAGCTGATGCATCCTCTTTTCATAGTGAAAACTCATCATGAGAGCTATGCTCTCCGTGGATTAGTCCCGGATTCCGGGGATACCACGTAATTCTCGGTGTCGTTTTATTTCCGCGATCGCAATATTTTACATGGTATCAGAGCCTGGTAGCACAAAACAGACGGTGAACTTAAGGAGAAGATCGAGGCCTAGGAGCACAAGATCACGGTCGCGACCTTGAGGTTTCAGGCGCGAACTTCGTGAAGGTATCAGCCTAGGAGAAACAAAGAGTTTCCCCAATCGTGCTGCGATCTGCATTGACTTTTGACAATGAAAAAGATCGCGGTCGAATCACATAAGTTCGCAACTGCGATCTTTAAGCTAGAGAACGCGAACTTGCCCGGGTCTGCTGAGCTCTATAAATAGGAAACTCCTTCCCCTTTAGGAGATGGCTTTGGCAGATTTCTTATTCTAGAGAAAGAATAGAGAGAGAAGTTGAATGAAGGAGAATAAGAGAAAGAGAAGAAGTGGAATGTATGTGTTTATCTAGTTGATTTATTGTTTCTTTAGCTTTCATTGTGTTTGGGTAAGTCACCCTAATCTTCTCTACTAGACTACTTAAGCTTCTACGCTAGGTATGGAGTTTTAGGGTTAGACGGGTATGTGCCATCAAGCAAATTGAGGTTAGATGTATGAATAGGATCCTATGGTGGACGAGGCGACCATACCCCTACCATAAGAATGCCTTCCTAGATAGAACCCAATATAAAACCTCAGTGTGGGCGGTGGGTAGTACCCATTGAAAGGAGCTATGTGCTTAATGCCCCAGATACGATAGCCAATATCGAGGTGACTGACATGGGTTTAGGGGAGGCGTACTCGGAGGCGTGTGGATAACCATGAAAGCCCACGGAAAAGAGCTCACTTACCACATTCGACAAACCTTATTTATTTAGACATTGAATAGTGGACCTAGGCTAGTGCGAGGGAATACCTCGGGTACCTCTTCTCATCCATTAATCTTTAGGTTAGAAATCGTCAACTGCCCACCTACCAAACAACATGTTGACTAGATAATAACCGGGCCTAAGTAGTCTAGGATATTGTGACCCTTGGAATACGACCGAGTCGCTTTACTGCATCCCTAGCTAGGTTATACTTGGCCTTGCTAGGATTGACTAGAGAGTGCGCTTCGAATTATAAATTTAAAGCTTGCACCCATGAGATCCAAACCCACCCCGAATTTTCCTTAACCCAGCCTAGTCCTATTCTCCTATGAAAATTATTGGCTTTGTCATTGTGATTCTGCATGGAATATATGGTCACAAGGGAGATATGGAAGGAAAAAAGAATTAATGAATGGTTACTACTGTTGCATGCATGATGAGAACAACGAGGATGAAAATGGTGAGAAAGGACCACGATAAAAATAAATGGTGAGGAAATAAGAGGTGAGAGTAGTGATGGGCATCCGGTTTGATAAAGCCGAATCGAACCTAACTGAACCAAAACTGAAATAATATTGTTCAGCTTGGAATTCCAAAAGAAAATAGACGTAATTCAAGAACCAGGCTAGTCATGCCCGAACCAGATTTTTAAAATTATGCTTCCACAACCCTCAACCCATACATAACAACCCAATCCTAAGCCCAAACTCTCCTGAAGGCTAAAGCCCAACTCTCCTACCCTAGCCCAGTCCCCCATAACCATAGAGAGACTCACCTCCTGTCTCACTTTCTCACCGGTCGTGGTTGTGCTCTCCCGATAGAAGGCCTTCCCTGCTGCTGCCCTCCACCGCAGATGAATCACGGCCGACGGCTCCCTCTGGCGAGCCACTAGAGTCTGACACGACGACACCCTTTACCCTCTCACCATTCACATTTTCTCGCCCGCCATTTAAACCCTGAAATCAACCAAAAACAAAAGCTCGGATTAGCCAAGCCTAGAAAAAATCCCAAGCAAACAACTATTTATCAAATTTACCAAGGAGGAGGGATCGCGATCTACTCCTATCGTTCAAGGCCGCACATGCATCATTGGTGGACTCTATCACGCTCAACGGAAACCCTATGACCTTCCCCCTTCCGTTGTTGATTTCCATCAGCCTCCTTTGTCCTCGGTCGAGCTCCCTGAGACCTGAAGAAGAAGAGGAGGAGGAGGAGTTCGGAAAGATCCAATGAGATACCTTTTTTCTAATCTTGTCGCCGTAGTGCTACTCTTCTTACCGCTCTGCCTTCGTAGAGTTCTGGAATATGGACAGGAAAAACAGAGAAGGAGAAGGCGAAAAAGAAAGGAAAATGCGGAGGTGGGGATGGGGCGGGATATATCATAGGTTTTGTCGGGTTTACCGGACTGAACCGATATATATTTGTGTTCGAATAGAGCAAACCGAAATATATTTCAGTTTGAAGTTTGCAGGAGTTTAGAGACCCAATATGCTTCATTTCAGTTTGATTTTGACCGAACTGAACCGATGCCCACTCCTAAGTGAGAGGGATGTCATGGTTGGTTCTTGAAAATTTTAGCATAGTGGGTATGTTTGCATTTGACAAGTCTTTCCTGCATTTTTAGTTACCTACCTTTCAAAAAAGCTGCAAAAACATTGTATCTTTTAATACTTTTCAATGAGTACAATGTATGACTTGATTTGTGTTCTATGAAGAAATTTAACTTATAAAAAATACACATCTTAACCTCTTAACCAAACAATGAATCAAATGAAAATTTAGACACAATACGTCGTTGAATGTTATATTGATGTCTCATTCGTAATCAATTATCTAAGAATAAAACTTACTTAGGTAATATTTGAAAAGGTTACTTAACATCATTATCTATCTTAATTTATTCAAGAAAATAAAAAGCAAGATGAAAGAATAAAAAGAAGAAGATTAATCATGGTCTAAAGTGTTATGTTGGAAAAGAAGATATTTGATTGAAGATTGAAAACCCTTTAGAGGATAATTTATACACCTGAGCAAGTTGGGGAGAGGGGAAAAAAGCCAAAAAAGTATATCAACTTTGCAATAAACAATTAAAACTCCTTTCTCCATTATCTCTTCTACTATTCTGATCTTTCTTTCCTAACTTAGCTCTCTCCTCTCTATACATGTTGGTGACTTTGGAGGGTAAACAATGAACAAAAGAAATTGAAGGGTATTCTATAGTCACTGTTGTGCTTCATTGGGCAACATTTGTGGATTCCTTTTAAATACATGTTTTCTACATCGTTCAAAAATATTATCGTATATCAAATCAAATTGAACTCCTGCCCTTTCTCTGTTGACAATGAACAATATGTGATCCCCCTCAACAATCTTGTAATACCTACATCCAATTTATTCCCAAATAATATCTCTTTGTTAGCAGACATCTTTATACATAAACTTGAAATCAAAATTTAGGTTACAATGCACAAGTCACCGCTTTAGACATAATGGAGAGAAAGAAAACCACTAACCAGATTCCCGGACGTAAGGATTCACAAGTGGAATCATCTTGAATGAAATGGCTTGGGTGCTCGATTGGGAATCGAGGGTGTGTCATGGATATAGTGTTGAGGGCACCATCATTGTCCTGCCAATCCTCATCTCTACGCAATGAATTAATCTAGTTAGCAATAATCAAACTACTCTTTTAGGGACATTGAAGGTTTCTATACTAATTGTGAGCTTCTGGATGATGTTATCTAGTGACTAAACTTTTCAAACATTATACAAAATATAGATTTATTAACAATGTAATTGTCATATAATAACGAACATGAAAATTACCTGTATCCTTTGTAAGGAGGAGAAATCTCAGAAGGATGTCGCCACTGGCTCATCTGGAGAACTCTAATGAAAAGCATGGGGTGGATGCCAAAGATGCTGGAAGGCATAGTGATACCCATGATTTTACTTGTACGCTTGGTTGCGTAGCTGAAATAGTATGTATTGGGGAATGTTTGTAGGTGGGAGTTGAGGGCTAGAGACCCTTGGATCGTAAGATCAGGAAGTATCCAATCCATTGAGGAAAATGGACCTGCACTACCTAATAAGCAATCCACCAAACCTGAAATGCCTTTTTTCTTCCAAGACATATTGAAGTGATCAAACCCGAAATTGTAGTAAGCCTTCAACCAAGGTATGTCAAGCCAATCATAGACAATCACACCAAGACGACATATTTGAAGCAAACATATTGATTTCAAGCTCTTTCCATCTTCAGGACTGCAATTTATGTAAACAATGGTCATTCATCCAGGTCAAAAATTACTTAAAAGGGATTCACTTTCATAGATTTAAGAATGAATATAATAAAAGTTGAAGAAAAAGAAAAACCCAAAAGGAGAAAATCAAAGGATGCAAAATGAACAAGATTTCCAGCTCAAAGCACTCACTACATCCCATCCAAGTATGTTCGCGTAGTTCCATTAAATGCTCCGGATAAGGATGTAATGCTCAATACCCAACTCTCAGAAGTGTTCTCATAGCCCTTGAAGGCCTACAATAATAATAATAATAAATCACCCATGGACAATATAACATGGTTTTCATTACTATCATAAATGGGTGATGATAATATGATGAGGATGATACTAACCTTGTCAGCAAGCATTTGTTGCAAAACTCTAACAACTTGGGCTCCTGCAGAATGGCCAACAAAGTGAATGGGGTGATCTTCATCCCATTCAGGGTAATTCCCTACAATATTAAAGATCCAATATATGAAATCTAATCGTCCTCTAAATAAATATATATCTCAAAGTACAGTAAAATAATCAGGAGATGTTGTAACCTCGTTCATACATCCTTCCAAATTGAGAATGTCCACAAGCTTTACTGTGTTCATCACCATAATCAACTTGTCCTCCTTTCAAATAATAGAATAGCTCCCTTGACCTATAAATTGGCCAGGAAAATCATCATTAGCTTGAAATTTTTCACTTTACTAATGGAGAAAGCAAAAGGAAAGTAATGACCAATAGGAGATTCAAGAGATGGACCTATCATAAATGCTAGTTAGGGAACCCAAATCAGGGACAAGAACCCTCTCATCTTTGTTTTCGGCCCCTGCAAAATATGATAAGCCTCCTAATCTCTGAAGATATAAAACATCCCCATGAAAGGGGAACAAACTTGAATGAGATTATATAATCCAAAGAAATCCATCTTGAAAATTCTCCATGTATGGGGGGATTAATAAAAGAAAATTTAGGTACCCCTTTGCCGAATCCAAAAATTCCATGGACCAATACAATTGGAGGGAGATCTTTTAGTCCAGTGCTGGTAGAATTTGTTGTGGTTGTCGGTTCTTGCTGTTGTAGTTCTTTAATGACGAGGTCCATGTTAGGTTTAAAATACCAATCACTCAATCCCTGAGAGAGATCCCCGGCCACCGCAGAGCTGAATATGTAGAAGCCATAGAGCATATGCACCAAAGCACTCACAAACAACTCAATCAATTGAACCACCAACATCCAATACCTCAACATTCTTCCCTTTTTCCTTGTTCCTTCCAGAACTCGTGACAAGTTCTTCAAGCAATCATAAAAAGTAGAAAAGAAAAAGAGCCTTCTTTGAAACTTGCTGACCTAGACAAAAAAAAGAAGGGCCCTTTGGTTCCTTTGGTAAGAACCTTCCTTTGTCAATGGCACGATAAAATCAAATGGTAATATTGAAATAAAATGGAAGCCAAAGAGATTTCACAAGCTATGGAAGAGAGAAGAGAAGAAGAAAGGAAATAAACAAAAATTTGAGAAAATGTTTTCCTCTTTCTCTCTATTCCATGCACAGCCTCAACTCTCTCATAAAAAATATATATGGGAAGGCAGGTTTCATTTTCTATTTGAGTCTTTCATCGCCTTAACTTAAAAAATGGGAGCATGACATAATTCTCTTTTTCCTCTCCTTTCATAATTAGGAAAAAAACCATTTCAGTTTATTTTAACAACAGGAAAATAAAAGTAGACCACGGGTCGAAACTTGACCAATCACTCATATTTTCATTAATTTAAATTTTATGAGCTCGTTCAACATGAGTGAACAAGTAGCAATAGAAGATAAAATAAAGGACCATGATCAATGTCATGAAGATAAGACCAATGGCTTCCACTTTCTTCAACAAAATCTTTCACAATTTACATGAGGGTCCATATTACTAAGTTATCTTATGATTCTTTTGACTATTCACTAAAACAAATCTTTCAAGTTTATGGATTCAAAAGATATAGTCATTTCAACTTAAGCGAAATTGGTGGCCCAAGAACCAAAGTGGAGGATTTTTCCCACATATTGAATCCCAAATCACCGATTATGTCATTGTTGAATCTATGAAATTATCTTAAAACCCCTAGAATGAATAAAGTTTTTGTTCTCGGATCATAAACTCCGTTGTACACACAACATAAAATTAGACAATTTAGGAGCTCATCTCTTAGACGAGGAGAAGGTGAATCCAGATTTTGAAAGCGACGGATCAAAGGTACCATAACATTAGGTTGCAAGAATACTTCAAAGGTTTACTCATTACATTTATAACTATGTGCTTTGCCTTTACTATGAGTGGCTAGAACAAACTTGTTATTTAGGTTGTGGAACCAAAAGTGGTCATGAATTTCTATATCCTGATTTAATATGATTTCATTAATCTTTCTTCCATAGTTCTCACCGTTCTCAGTTGTTTATATTTGATTTGTCCTAACCGCAAAACTGTGGTTAGTATAGTTTCAAATGAAAGACTAGGTATAACTCATTTGTTTCTTCGATCACCAAACAAGAAAATTAGCGTATCAATTGAGCGGTTAGATTATCAAGGAAATAAATTTATTAAAATGTTAGTGTATGTAGACGAGAGTCATGCATAAACTCACCTGTTTACTGTTAACGAGAGATTATGGGTAATACTTAACGAATTGAGGGACCGAGAAGTGGCAACTAACTTTATTGATTGTATGTTGATTATCTTATAGTAATTTGGGAAAATCTGAGGGGAAGTAAAGCCTAAACAACACAGTATAATCTTGCTAAAATTTTTGTTAATTTTTATTTACTAGAAGTTTGTTTTTTTTTATTTATCCCGGTTTTTTTTGTTTGTGCTAGTTTTTCACATTATTTAAAGAGACGATGTCAAACCCTAACCACAAACCAATTTATAATTTAATTTGCTCTTCAAAAATAGGTGAATCAAGGGAACCCTAGGGAATACATGACTCCATAAGGTTTAATCTTTTGGATATTACTTTGAGTCACAATACTATGAGACATCATGTTTTTGGTTGCTAGAGATCCCTCAATTCTATTGAAAGGGACCACAACTTATGCCTTTGTTTTTTGTTTTGATTTTCATTTTCCCCTAACCTTGATTCGCAATTTTTCATTCATGTGTGGGCATGAAAATTCTAGGTATTCTGATGTACGAGCTCTATAACCACCAGACACGACGTGCGCATACAAAAACTAATTGATCATATGACTGCACAAATGGCTCGTACGTCTAGTGATTCAATTCACATTCATGCATGATCATCATAGCAAAGGTTTGGTTTGACTAACTAGACAAAGTAAGAGTTCGAAGAATTTTTTAAGGAAGAATCACTTTAATTTCATCGTACAATCGAACTTCCTCACTCAAGAAGAGGACTTTGGATGAACTTTATTGTGAGACCTACATGGAAGAAGACATCAAATCTCCTCCAGAAATTGATGCAAAAAGTGGATGAGATGGTAGAAGGAGCTATACTTTGTTCGAGCATGCTAGCACTAAGGCAATGAACATTCATACTAATATACTTTTCTCGCCCATCTCTAATGCAAACTGTGTGTTTCGAATTGAAGACATTCAAATGGTCCAAAATTCTAGCCACTTTGGGGAAGAGAGGATGATAACCTTATCCAATATATAAAGAATCACTTGGAGATCTGCGACTCAATATATTTTTAGGGGTTTATGGTATGTTCTATTTTCTTTATCTATTTCGTTCCCACTCTTAAGAAGGATGGATTCATGGCTTAATACAGAACCTCATGTATATTTTTGCACTTGGAATGATCTTGCCCAGAATGTTGTGGAGGAATATTTTTCCTCCATGGAGGACCAGAAAAATTAAAGAAAAAATTCACAATTCAGATAGTGCACGTCTCAATTCTTGTATGTTGCTTGGAAACGATTTCATGGAATTATTCACTTCTTCCCACACCATGTGTTTGGCTACAAGAAGTTTGCTGATATTTTAGGCAAGAGATTATATGAAAATACAGTCGTCTTGGTCAACCCTGGAGCATATGGAGAATCATGTAGATTAGTATAAAAGTTTCTCTATAGCATTTCATAACCGTTAAAAATTTCAGGAACTGGTCCATGACTGATTCTAGATTAGTAAAGTAGATCAATGTTATAACAATAACTATACTGCATGGAAAATGCAAATGAAAGAACTAACAAAACAACTCAGTGAAATGTGAGCTGAAAAGTTCATTCCTCCAACTAAAATGGTAAGTGTTTGTGAGTGGTGTAGCGATACTAACCACTTTGGAGGTGATTGCTTCGATTTGGAGAACTCACTAAAGGCTGATGTTAACTTTGTGGGGGCATGAGTACTCATAGAAATATAGAATTGAAAAAAGAGTAATAGTAACAATTTTCTAAGCTAGAACAACTATGAAAATTACCAAAACCGGCCTTGACTTCATGCTGGCAACTAGTCGATACATGGGGGCAAATACCAACAAATTTCCAAAGGTGACATCTACAAGTGCGCCCTACATACCCAACTCACGATAGTAGACCAACACAATAATGACATTCTAGATTCCAAGAGCAACCTCAAATTTAGGGACATGAAAAGGAAGCCATTGAAGTCCCACAAGAAGGTCTCACTCGACTGAAGAAGCATGAAACTCTAGTTCATGGTCAGTAGAATATGCTCTAAGTTTTAGAACGTCAGATAGCCTCACTAGTTAAGATGATCAATGGAAGACAACCAAGGAGTCTTCCTAGAAATGATGAAAACAATACAAGAGGAAAGCCTTTGATGAGAGCATCGGCAAGTTGTAAAGCAATAGGAATATAACAAACTTGAAGTTGCTTGGAGTGAACAAGTTGGTACACGAAATGATATTCGAGGGCAAGATTCTTCATACGAGAATGAAAAAATGGTTTGGAACTAAATGCGACAGCACCCATGTTGTCATAGTAGAGAATAAGAGGAGCGGAGAGAGGCTGATGAAGTTCAGTAAGAAGGTTGCAGATTCACTGAAGCTCGGAGGTGGCAAGGGTAACGGTACTCAGCATCGGTGCTAGAGCTAGCAACGATTTGTTGTTTCTTAGATTTCTAGGAAATGAGATTATCACCCCAGTAGACGAGAAAACCTGAGGTGGAAGTACGATCATCAAGATCCCCGGCCTAGTCAGAGTCCTCAAAAACATGGAGGAAAGTGGGGAGGACAATCGACGGATGTGAAGACCAACTGTACTCATCCCAACGATGTAAAGCAAGAGGCATTTAACATGCTGCCAATGAATAATGGTGGGAGCATGCGTGAAATGGGATAGTTTGCTGAGGGCAAAGGCCACATCATGACGAGTGGTGAACAGGTACTTAAGTGCAACCATAACCTGAAGATAAAGAGTCCCATCGGCCGAAACTGAGCCATCAGTAAGGATGAGATGAGTCATGGTCGTGATAAGAGGGGTCATCGAGGCCTCATCCACATGAAACCAATGTAGTCTATCCATAATATACTTGTGCTGGGAGAGCGGATAGCCAGTAAGTGTACGAAGGATCTCAATACCAAGAAAATAGGTGGCATCTATGAGGCTCGTGAGAGAAAAACGAGAAGATAGTTATGCTTCAAACTATCCCAAAAATGTTCAAAGTATTGCATGGGAGTAGAAAATCATCAACATACATGAGAAGATAGACAATTACTGAATCTCGAATATTGACGAAGCGAGATGTATTCGAGCACGTTTTACGAAGGCCACACTACTCGAGAAATGCACTTAATGCCTCATACCAGGCTCGCGGGGGTTGTTTCAAGCCATAAATGGCCCATTGAAGATGATAGACATGATATAGACGTTCAGGATCAACAAAGCCATGAGGCTGAGATATGTAGGCTACCTTCTGCACCGACCCTAAGGCATTTTTTACATCAAATTGTGAGATGGACCACCATTGAGAAAGAGCGATGGTGAACATGGTACGAATAGTGATGGGTTTGAGAACTAGATTGTACTTCTCACAAAAATAAACTCCCGGTCACTGATGAAAGACCTTGGCATCAAGGCGAGCCTTGAAACATTCAAGAGAACCATCCAGATGTTGTTTAATGCAATATATCCATCGATTGCCAATAACGTTGAAGGAAGATTGTCGAGGAACAAGATCCCATGTATGGTTGGAGCATTAAGCTCCAAACTTAGCGTTCATGGCCCGACGCCATTATAGAGATCAAATTGCTTCTTTGACCATGCGTGGGAGCTAAGGAAGAGTCACCTACGATGTAGAAATAGCTACAAAATACTTGAGATTAGGCTTATCAATATTGGCACGGGCCCGAGTAACCATGGGATGTTGATCTTGTGGCGAAGTGACTTAAGCTAGAGGGTTCAAATTAGTTTGTAGAGGTGATGGGTGCGATGGCTCTGGCGAGGCCGGAGGAGGAGACTTGAGTGGAGTCACATGTGATGGAGGAGGCACTGGCAGCGGCATATAGGTGACAGGAGGAATGCGGCAAGCCATGCGGGAGACTTAACAGACGGAGAGGTACAAGTGGATGTCGAGGATACTCTAGGAAAATCAGTTCCAATGA